CCGGGGGGGGGGGGGGGGGCAGGCGGAAAAAAGGGGGAAAAGGAGAAAAGCAGCAGCGCGGAGGGCGGCGGGGCCTGCCCGGCTGCGGGACACGGCGCCCCGGGGAGGGGGGAGCGCCCGCCGCGGGGCAGCGCGCAGGTGAGCGGAGCTGTTCCTTCAGCACCAGGCGCGGGGGGCGGCGGAGCACCCCCCGGGAGAGCTGCGGCCCGAGAGGAGGCAGGGCTGAAGGAAGACAAAAAATACATCAAAATGCAAGAAAACGACACCCAAACGGTTCACACAGGTTGCACTAAGCAGCTGGTAAAGTTGGGCTCCTTCCCGCGGGGGCCGTTTCTCACACCTGGGCGCAGGCTCAGCGCGCCTGCTGCAGCCCCGTTACACGCTGTACGCTTCGTCGTGCCTCAGACTTCCCACCTTTTCACTCAGCCTCATCCAGAAAACCCACCCCAAGCAGCACGCTTCCCCCCTTCCTTCCCAGGTAACGCCTCGGGCTTTTTCAGACCTCGAACGCCAGAAAAGCGCCTTTTTCCAGTCATGCTGATTCTTCACATCTGCACCATCAAAACATTCATGAGGGAAGTTTAGAGCCTGTAGCTCCATTTCCACAACTGCCACAAGGATCCGCAGGAAAGAGGCGCTCCCAAAAGTCGGAGTTTGCCTGTATAACTCATGCCCAGCCCCTAACGAAGCAAGGCTCACAGGGAAAACTGGTATCTTACTAGAATAACTGATGCCAGTGGAGTAAACAAGCTGTCAGGTAACACAAGCCTTTTTCCACTGCTTGAAGAGCTTTTTCTCCTACCCTACTACAGCAACAGCTTTTTTATAAATGGGATTGAAACTTTCCCTTCAAGCCTTTTGTAAACCAAATCCTTCAATTACCACACCTGCAACAGCACTGCTGCTTTGTGGAAAGCCACCCCTGTAGCTTTGGTCACCTGTATCATCATAACTAACTGAAAACCTTTTCTTTTTCTTTTTTTAAGGCAAAAATACATTCTCGGGTAGAAGACAGTCTCCCCATCAGCCTGGCAAAGCAGACTGGAGAGTGCTCCATCTCATGGAGAGTAAACTATTTCCACAGACAGCTTCCTGAAATGTGAAGACAGAGAAAATAAAATACAGCAAAAGAAGTTTAAAATCGCCAGCTCCCACCACCACAGCATGCTTTTATCCAAGCTACGTTTGCTACTTACATGGGAGGAGGTGGGTGCCCGGAGCTTCACGTGGCCAAGCCTGGGGCTGTCAGCAAATCGCTCCCACTAGACTGCAAAAAGAACACAGCCTTCAAATCGCTTCCAGTCTAACAGGAATCAGATGAGGAGTCTGACACAGGTTAAACAATATTACATTAGACCTGGATGCCAACTTCATCACACCTTAGAATAAGCAGCTCTGCGTACTTTCAAATGTTCGGCTTATTTTTTAAATAAGTTTGGTACAAGTAAGCTTTATTCACGATTTGACAATGGAGTTATCCTCTTCACAATCACATTCAAAGTGCTGAGTTTGCAGCACTTACAAGTCTTCTAAATCTGCATTTTCTAGTTTTCACCTGGAGGTAAAAAGGAACACTTTAAAAACAGCAACAGCTGGCACTGCTGCACCTGTATGTGCATCCGAAACAAAAATCAAGACATTTTCTGTTATTTTGACCATGGGGACGGAAACCAGGAGAAATTAGAGACGGAAACAATCTTGGAAATTAGCTAGTCCATCTCCCTGCCGATGGAAAACTGAGAACAAACACCACTCCACAGCTGCTCCGGCCACTCCCATTAAAGTCAGCTGAACAGCCCTTCTAAACCATTTTGGCTGGGGTCAGCAGTTGGTTTTGGCTACTGTATTCCTGAACCAAACCCACCCTCATTCCCGGGAAGCAGGATGTGAAGTCATAGCTCCAGAGAGGTCTCAGAGGCCTTTGGCATGCTGTATCCATCACCTGGTTTTAGCTAACAACCTTTCCTTTTTAAGCCATGAAGTTAATTCCCAACCGATCCTTTTTCCTTGCCTGCTCGGAGCCTCTTTCCTACACACAGTCAGACTGTTTCAACATCAGCGTTTGGGTTTTCCCCAGACAGGCTGCTCAGGAGGGATCACAGGACCTGGTGAAGCTCTGGAGTATCTTTTTTTCTTTACAGCAAGGCTGACAACACCTCGCTTTAGCTCTTTGGAAGCCAAGAGCAGACACGTCAAAACCAGCAGAGCAAGGGGGGGAAAAGACAAGATGCTGTCAGGAAGGAGGCAGTGGGGAATATCTCTGCCACCGCTTGGCACAGGGCTCCCTTCTACACCAGGAACAATCCTCTCCCTACGGAAAGCAAGGCTCCCGTTATGGGACAGCAGAGGAAATCTCAACAGAAGATTCACTACTGCGAAGCCATGGAAAGAATTCAAGTCCAGGCTGACTTAGCAGGACTGAATTGGTTTACCTCGGCCAATTCATGAGGAGTCAAACAGAACCGGAGGCTCGTTTTAGTTAACTTCTCACCAAATCAGTCAGGCCTGTAAACTACCAAGCAGCGGAGGTATGGCGGGGTGCGTGTGTTCTCCAACACCAGGGGCAGGGAGATGCGAGAGGACGGCATTACCTTTCTCGGCAGCCTTCACAGAGCTAGAAAGGTTCAGTTCTCTGTCCCTGCCCTCGGACAGGGCCAGCGGGGGCACAGAGTCCTAGAGCAGCCCTGCATCCCCCCTGCAGAACCACACCGAGCGAACTCCTCCGGGCAGCAGCTGTTCCCTCTAACACAGTTAAAAACTGTCTTCCCAAGAAGAACCCAGCCCCTCTGTCACGCAGACACCATACACAATCTTTCAAAGAAGTCCACTCTCTTGTGCTCTAGTGCCTGTAGGAAGCCCTGGATTCTCTCTTCCCGCATGGCAGTGCATTTCTGCAACAGTGTCCGTCGGCGCCGCGAGTCTCCGTGGGACGCAAACCCCTCCTGCTGCAGCTTCTTTGTCACGTAAGCCTGATCCCTTTCCATCTGTTGTCGCCTCCTTTCCTCCATGTAGGAGTCTCTGGCCTTCTAGAGTGAAAAGCAGCAGAGCGTTAGCACTTTGCCAGGCCTTTCAGCTCATCGCTGGTACAGATGCAAGGCAGCACAGGTTATGGAAGAAACAGACTCTGCTTGGCCATTCATCTGCAGGTTAAATGAAGGGTGGCTCTGTGTGCGCCCCCTCTGCTTTGAGGCAGCCTGCTTGATTGGTTATAAAAAACACAGGGATATCCTTCTGGGCCTTCTCCCCAAGACACAACTCCGCTCACAGCGTTAACTCCTAGTTAAAATAGATAAAGGTCGCGGCAGATTGTGGAAAAGCCCTCAGATATCGGAATCTGAGAGGAACAGTGTACAAGAGGACTTCCAAACCGCAGAGGCGCACACAAGCTGTCCTTGCCAGTGTCATCACAGAAGCTTTGATCCTATTCACGTGGCAGCCGAAAGGTTTTAGGGGATTCAGAACAATGATTGATGGGGCAATTCTTTGAGCTGATGATCAGGTATTGAGCTAAACAGCTTCAGTAAAAAAGCGCGAGTGGGCTCAGCATTCCCAAATGCCTGTGATCTAATAACGTACCGGCTCGAGACACAGCAGGGTGGGCAGGAGAAAGGTAAAGGCAGTAGCTACCCTTGCCTACCCTTCATGCATTTGAATCACTTTTGGATTTCTTCTTATTGCACATATCCTAGCCTGCAGCCTCCAATAGCAAAAACACATCCGCAGGCAGGAATATTAAGCTTTCATTTTTAAAAAGAGTAAAACTGGTCACTGTGACATAACCTGACACACACACACTTAGGGAGCGCTGGCCTTTCAAATGAGAAAGAAGAAATAATTATTCTAACAAGAGCCTGACTCTCTCTTCACCACACTTTCCCTGTGCCCGAGTCAGCAGTCTGCGCTCTGGCACTGTAAATGAGCTGCTGTTGTGCTAGGAATGAGAGTAGAAATACCCCTAGCTACGGAAAGCCCCCTGATCGATAGCACTCCACTGCTGTAGCTCCGCTTATCTGAAATGCGAAGATCATCAGCCTGTTCAGCCCCCCCACAAGTTTCCTCTTCACGCAGAAGGGGAGCTGCCATTAGTTGTATTAATGGATTGCTGGTAGGAAAAAGGGCAGACACAGGAATAAAAGAGGTTAAGGACGTGGAGAATTTGGATGCTCCCAGACTGACTGGGCCTGATTAAATTCACCCATAACCATGACTGTCTATAATCTCTCTGACAACTCTCAGAGGTGAGCAAGGTCCCTGAAGGCAGAAAAGGGCAATATAATGCCCGTCTTTAAAAACAGAGGACACAAATAGTTAAGGAACGGACGCACTTAGCAGCCAGCTATGGTGGAGGTAAGAGCCACCACACTGAGTTCCTCCTCCTGCCAGTTACTGCTGCCTCTGTGCTACAAGCTGCTGCCCCCCAGATTTCCCCATCAAGAGCTCCAGCTCCCAGACTTGTTTTGCTTAAAAACAGCCAGATTACTAAGTCACTACTAAGTTGGCCAGATTTATCTGAACCAGGTCAGGGAGAGCTCACAACAACAAATCTAAGAGGAGAGGAACAATGACAACAGGAACAATCTCTTCAGTAGGCACATCTAGACCCACCAGGAAGAGGACACTTGTCCACAGGCTCACAGCTCAGGCAGCCTCACTTCAGCTCCCAGAAAGGAAACTCTAAACCCTCTTGTTACAACCCTAGAAACAACAGCGGAGTTCGAGGAAGAGCACGCAAATTCTCCCTGCTCATTCCCGAGTGAACTCGGCAGTCTTTGCTTCAGCCACGGATGAAGGGGTTTGAGTTACACTGGCTGATTGTGCCCTGCAGCAGATCAGGAGCGCTTACTTGTTCCGTCCTGTCAGCTGAGGAGTGGGGACAGATACTCGTTGCTCGTTCACCAGCTGGAGCTGGTAACAGAGCCAGCGGTGACTTCACATACTTTAGATATTCCCGAAAGCAGAGGAGTCTGTCCGCACGCTAAGATGTTGTAACAAAGCCATGCGGGTACAGGAGAAGCAACGCATCTGGCATTAGCTGCTACTGAAACCAGAGCTTAGCTAACAGCGCTGAATGAACAATTCCTCTGTTCCCACTTGCGCTCTCTCACCTGATCTCCAGCGCGTTGCTGTGCGGACAACAGGCTGTGTGGAGCTTTCCGTCTCCCTAAGGCTCCCTTACCTGTAGGGCACTGTAGTTCATCTGGAAGCGAAGGATAGCCTCACACAAGTTCCAAAAGGAATATTCTGGCCACAAGACTGACTGAAACACCAGGCATGAATGGGATGTCTGCAGAAAGCAAGATCACCAACAATTTAATCATCTAGCGAGGGAAAAGTCATCAAGATGCAGCTCTGTTGGTCAAACCATGCCCTTTTCCCCACAAAGATTTTACCGAGGCTGTGTCAGAGTCTACTTAAAATGAAATAAATACCAGCCAGGAGAGTTTGAAATTGCACAACGTAGAGTCTTCCTAATTTGTTTTTAATGCCGGGACACTAGTCATCCATTCCTGTAAGAATACCAGCAGAATTCCTTCTAATGCTGTGCTGGTCTTCACAGAGGTATTTTTAATAGCTTAAGCAGCACAGACTTATAACAAAACTAAAATAGCAACACTGGCCTACCAAAGGCCGAGTTAAGGGAATAACAGATGAACTGAGGATCAGGACATGACATTTAAGCCATTCATCAAATGACATCTCGTGATATTCCTTGCTGCCCACTCATGGCATTTAAAGTGCTTAATGAATCTACGAGTTGTGGTGCACTGAAGATACCGTAGTGCTGAAAGACGCAAGCTTTCAAGTTAAAGCCTATTTTCACCATCAGATCCCTCAAAGTTTCAGGGTAAGCGGGTTTCTATGGGCATTATTACAAAATCTAACACTTCAGTAGGACTCTGCTGACTCTTAAGATTGTAATCATATATAAAATCTTAGTGTCCATTCTATTAAAAAAAAAACAAAACACCACCATAAGGACGTTTTCCTTGACACCAGAGAATCATCGTGAATAGCACACTGTCCTACTTTGGGGCTGTCAGGACACACGCGATTGCTAGCGAAGGGAAATCTGCACTAAGGCTCTGGTGTGTGAGCTGGCAGAGCGGGAGCACAAGCACACGCTCTCCTCTGCTGCAATCCACGGCAGAGGCGAGGGGCATCATGCCCGCCAGACTCACAGAGCACTGGTTTCCTCAGGAATGCTCCGCCAGTTACAAGCTCGCTCTCTGAGGCGCCTTGGCCAGGACCACCACCCAGAGGAGCAGGCAAAATGTTCGTTTGCAGCATCGACACCCATCCAGGGCATACGTGTGCCCAAAAGTGCAGGGAGGAGAGGGAGATGCCTTGGTAGGCAACCGCAGCTCAGGCCAGACACCGTCTGTGAACGTGCCAATGGAATAAGTTGGAATAGGAACACTTGATGTGGTTGCTTACAGGCAATTGGGTTTTGGCTCCAAATTGTGCATGTAAAACAAATGGTTAGCTTTAAGTAAAGCAGCTCGACTCAGCTGTTCTCCTGCAAAGCCTGGGTTACAAACAAGTCAATACTGCCTAGCACAGGAGAGGGAGAAACGGAAGCAGCTTTGGATACTGTAAATGGGAAGACGTGAACTTTGTGTATGTTAAGAATTTACTGTGTTTTAGCTTTGCAGCCTATGATGCTGATTTGACTTTGCCATCCTTAGGACCTGTCTTGCAGGGTCTCGTTTCATTACAAAAGTCAAGTAAACCTCTGAAACCATGACAGGTCAGGGATGTACATTACATGTACGTTATAGGGTTACGCCTCCAATGCCCACAGCTGACATGTGACAAACACCTCTCCCAGGAATCTCAAAATCCTTCCTGGGATTTCCTCATCCCGGGAAACATATTGCCAGGTTAAATTAATCAAAGCCAGGAATTTACCAATCAAATGAAGAATTACCTAAATGCGAGGAGGAGCAAAAGTTTCCTTGATTTCCTTGAGTGCTGTCAGCTAGACTAATTTGTGATTTCTTATTAATTATTAATTAATTATTTCAGAATGATGCAATTTCAGACTTGTGCTGCAAGGAATTTCAGGCAATCCCAGAACAGCAAGAAACAGATTCTGCAGAGGTGCCCCAGCACTCAGTCCATCCAAGAAGCTACCTAACCCCTGGCAGAGAGAGTTTAAGAGCCCTCATGTCAGCTCACGCCTAGAGTCAGTAGAACGCTCTCCGAGGCAAAGATGGAATATTTCAAGAAGAAAACAAAGGCTTTACCTGCCAGAGCAAGAAATCACTCAACCGAACCTCTCCAGAGGTTCGAATCAGGAGGTCTGGGTCAGGGGAGTTGTTGGTGTACAGACACTTATCGAGCAACGATTCAGACACGTCACTAAGGAAGACAGATGCATCTTATTAAGATCACTTTCCTGACCTGAGGGAGCTGGCACTACTAAATCACAATTACTGGAGCGTTTTTTTATAAACACAGGACTGCAGATTAAAACTGGGTGGTGGAGCTGTACCACAGCCAGTCATCAGCTTGCTTCTGACAGACACTGCTGCCTGCTCCACAGGCAATTTCAAACGCTTTTTCAGCCCCCAGAGCATCCCCCCCCCATGCTCTTTGAAACTTAATACAGTGGTGGAACCAGACTGTGAGGACTTCCATCTGGAGCAGAGAGCCAAGTGCTAGCTACTCCATCTCCTCCAGGGTGGAGGAACAGTTTTCATGATTCATCTGTTGTTTGACCTCATAGCTAAGACTGCCAGCCAAGCAGCCAATTGTTGTGGCATAAAATCTGCCTTCACATTTAAGCTAACTTAAGACACAGACCTAATTTCTCTTCTGTCTTGGTTGTGTATCTATCACCATGGTAGCTGAAATAATAAAAACCAAACATTGCATAGTAACTTTAAGTCACTTGTTCCAGTCATACTGGTTTAATGAGATCTATTTAAAAGCCACTTGGCTTCTGAGAGGTTTATTAATAAAGCGTAGGAGGTAAGACCAGGCAGTCTTCATCTACAAAGCCACACACAGAAAGACAAGAGTTACCTGGGTTCGAGCAGTCCTTGTTCCACCCCCCACGCCATCTCCCTGACCGCATTGCTGATTTCGTGTCTCGATGTATATGCAAAGCAGACATTTAGAAAGCATCTGAAAAGAGGAGAAGTATGTGAAAGACTAACCTAAGGAAGGTACAGCAGATGACAGAGAGAAGAATATCTACAGCAGTTATGTGTGCTTGTAGGAGAAAGGGAAAAAAATAAAAGGTGTATCAAATCTGCCAAGTCTCAGCCTCAGGCAGAAGAGGGAGGCGTGAGGTATCAGCTATTTTAAACTGTGCGTTACTTACTTGTTGTAGTTCCTAGTTGCCAGCACAGCTTGGGCAATCAGCTCCTGAATATCCAAGGGCAGAAGTGGCAGGTCCCCGAGGACACGGATACACACACCGTGCTTCTTCAAGCTCTCCCTACACCCAACAAGGAGAGTGAGGACTACAGAGAACAGATCGGTCCCTCCTGCACAAGGGCCACGTTTGCCTTGCGTAACATCCACCAAAGGAAAACGGCAGGCATGTAGCAAGCATAGCTTCAGCAAAACTGATAATTAGAAAAAGGCAAAACAACCAAATGTTCTTCAGGTGTTGACACCTGGCTTAGATTGGATCATCCCAAACCATTCCGTAAGGGGAAACTGATCATTCCCCATACAAGTTCCTGAGGTACAGACATAACCAAAGGACTAGAAGATGATCCCAGGTTAGGCATTCCTACCTGAAGTTATAAAAATCCATATGGAAAACATAGAATACGACCATAGACTCTGGCCACCTATAACTAATCAAAAATTAAGATGACTAATGGTCACCCACAGAGTAGCACAACTACTTTCTGGTGTAAGGAAAGAGTAATGTATGAGGGTGGGACGGGGGCGGTGGAGCAAATGTCAGAGGAGACAGGAAACCATCCATGCCTGCTACAGCATTATTCCGAGCAGACAGGACACCCCGTGGGATGTTACCGGTTCCTGCTGCTGTCTGTCTGCTGGTACCAACTCCCTGACAAAGGGCCACATTGGCTGTGAACCACGGAAACGGCCCCTTCGAATCATGGTGTAGTGCAGCGCTCAGATAGCCCTGATCCTCCCAACTTGTACCAGCGCACTCATGCCACCCTCTCTCTCCCGTTCTCCCAGCTGCGCCTCCTCACTGCCTTTCAAATTTACTTCAACCAGGTAAGCACGCCTTCCACGCACCGCTCTTTT